CGGAGCACCACAAACACACGTCTGCCTCTGTCAGAATTTATCACTTAAATCAAGTTTGAGCAAAATCGGATAACTAATATTATAAGAAAGTTATGAATTTTTGAAAAAGTATGTAAAACTATAGAACAATGGAAATCACTACACAAATTACCAATTTTGTTATCAGTTTGGAGTGGACTTGGCCTTTAAGTATCGAAAGTAGTAGTTTCCTAATTACTCTGATGAACGGATTGCGCATAGCCGCATAGGGTGGGGGAGGGGGACGACTTATAGTCATTTATATACGAATGGGGAAGGTAGTTGAATAGGGACTTTTAGATTGGCGTGGACTGATACGTGTGACGTCCATTCAAGGCGGTGCATTAAAAGGACGTCGACCGTAGCAATCCACATTGTCTTTGTGCGAATCTAAAAGTCCCTAAAGTAAACGGATCACGAACTACTCACCCGTTGTGTTGTTATATGTATTTTAATACAATTATATTTTAGCTGAACTATGTATCGTGATCAAAAGTCTAATCCTTTTTTGCCATTATCGGTCTATTTTTTCGCAATTGCTTTGTTTCATGTTTTGTAATATTTTACTATTCATTAATTTGTTTATTGTTTTCCATTGTCATTTGTTTGTTATATGTAATACAGGGCTCTGTTACAAAACATTTTTTATGTACTGAAGATACTACCTTGTATAAAGAACACATGATAAACAAATATATAACAAAATCATTAAAAAAATGAATAAATGAATGAATGTATTAATATATAAACAAATAGATTACGAAAGGGTGGTGTATGTTATTATTTCATTCCATTCAATTACATTTCATCTCATTTCATTTCATTTATTACCCCCCCCCCCCAAAAAAAAAGGGATTCAATCAGGCATAGCAACAATCTAAAAAAATGAATGATTGGAGTGTTATCAACATCAATTCAAGGTTGGCCCTTTCAATACATTACTTGTGACAATAAATCAACCATTGAGAGTAGTCAAAGAATGATAAATATCATGAATCAATATTAATGTGTATTCTGAACATTTTGCCCACCAGTGGGCCAGTTTGTTACATCTCTTTCGTAAAGGAGTTATTTTATTTTACCCTAGAACGGTTTTGTGATTCAATGTATAGGCCCCTATCTATATTTGTAGAGGTGTAGTGGATACGTCAGCGGACTGTGGATGACATGCATGGTTCGTGGTTCCAGTCCCACCAAGGCACTAATGTTCTTGGGCAAGATATGATTTATTTGGTACCTGGAAGGAATCTATAGTACTAGGACTAAAAGATGGCAAGAGTCCAGGATATGATGACATTAGGGACTTTTAGATTGGCGTGGACTGATACGTGTGACGTCCATTCAAGGCAGTGCATTAAAAGGACGTCGATCGTAGCATATACATAATGTCTTCGTGCGAATCTAAAAGTCCCTAATGACTCCAAAGCCGGTTCTCAAGAAACGATACATATAATTGCTATGCCTTTAACTTATATTTATAACGTATCTCTACAAAGTGGTCACTTCCCCGACAAGTTGAAATTAGCAAAAGTTTTGCCTATAAGGGTGGAGAAAAGAATCTAAGTTCAAATTATCGACCTATTTCTCTTTTGTCCATTTTTGCCAAAATCTTTGAAAAATTAGTTTATACTAAATTGATGTCATTCATAAATAAATATAATATTCTATATAATAGACAATTTGGGTTTCGCTCAGGACATTCTACTGCCCTGGCGTTACTAGAATTTATTGATAATATAAACAATGCCTTTGAAAGTAAACATATTGCCTTTAGTATCTTCCTTGACCTTTCTAAAGCATTCGATAGTATCAACCATGGCATATTATTTAAAAAATTAGAATATTATGGAATAAGGGGAGTATGTCTAGAATGGATAAAAAGCTATTTGAATAACAGAAGTCAGTTTGTTTACTTGGGTGATATCAAGTCGTCTTTACTCAAGATTTCTAAATGCCATTATTCGTACAGAAATTCCAAAAATTGACCAATGGTTTGCAGCGAACAAGCTTATGATCAATTAAAAAAAGACTCAATGTATGATGTTTAAGAAAAGAAATAGATATCTTAATTATGAAATTGAGGATATATACATCAATAATTACAAGATTGATAAATTATACTGCATAACATTTCTTGGAATTGCTGTAGACGATAGCCTGACTTGGTCTTGTCATATTGATGAAATCATTGGAAAAATAGCACGTGCGATTGGAGTATTGTATAGAATTAGGGAATTAGGCCTCTCATTCCTCTGAGAATTTTAACCAATTTATATAACACATTGATCCTGCCATACCTTTCTTATTGTTATAATGTATGGGGAAAATTTTCAAATACTTCAATAAATAAGCTATATGTATGTATTACAAAAAAGAGTACTTTCTACCTATATATTATTAATTTATTCTGAATACGTGTGTAATATATATGATATTAAATGTCGCTATTATTACATCATTATTTGATTTATTTTCTCTCTGCCATGCATGAAGATGATTATGACAACTGTGAACTATAATCGGGTGGTCCTCATCTTAACGATGCTCAATTATATGCTTGGTAAGTACAACAAACATACCAAGAACAAACGAAAGAGAAAAAAAGAAAGAAAGAGGACCATGAAGAACCAAAAACGGGAACTAAACAAGAAGAAGAAGAGGAGGAAGAAGAAGAAGAAGAACGTCGGAAGAAGAAGGAAGAAGAAAAAAAGAAGAATAGGAAGAAGGGGAACAACAGCAAATTTGTTTACACTAAATGAAAACCCCTGAGATTACATATTCGAGCACATCGCTTCCCGAATTGGAGGTAGCACGATGCTATGGCGGTTAAAAATCATGCAGCCCCTAGACCCAAACGCCCCACCCCCTCGCGTTGTTCGTCTTGATGTAGATTGGGGTTAAGAGCGGGTATTGTTGATTGTGACCCCCTTAGCATATTCTATTCCGTTATTTTTACATTTATTTACAAATTATTTGTGTAACTTTACACAAGGTTGTATACACGCCAGGCCTAATCACGCGGATGGCATAGAGAGTGATCCTGTGCCACAAGTCGCTACAACCCGGGTTACAACAAAGAAGTCCCTGGATAATGGCCTCCCAATGGACGTCCTACCCGTCCCACCCCACACATATTTTGACAAAGGTAGGCTAGGTTCGATTTACTCTCATTAAACGCTTTTGAAAACAAGTTTACATAACAAGGGGTGGAAGACAATGAATGCAGTGAATGTTTCAGTCTTCTAGTGTATATAGGTTTCAAATTTAGTTGATTGATTAATAGATTCATTTATTTAGAACACGATTTATAAAAATAACAATGAAAAAAATGGTTGTGAAACAAACACAATAAATATAAAATCCCAAGTACAGCAAATATCAAAACAATACAAACAAACCATATAAATTATTGAATATTACAGCTAGAGCATAAATTGATGTATATTAGAGGGTTTTAAAAGAAAATGCAGAATTTAAAATGTGCGTCCTTATTGGTGGAACTGATCGGAGTGCAAATTTCAATCAGGTACTACGCCATTGGGCACGTCATGAACATGCCTAATAATGGTAAAACCCCGAATTTGAACAAACGCCTAAAGGACAATACACACTTTGTATCAAATTCATTTTCATGAAAGCTGAAAAGTAATATAATCAGAAAGTAGAATGTTTGAAATAAATCGGGCCAACAATAAGATATTTATGAATGTTTGAAATGTAAGATCATTAAATATATGCTAATGTCAAATTACGAATTTGGGCATTGGATTGTGACGTATAATAATCAACAACTCTCCCGTTTGTCCTGTACAAAAATACGGATTTTTGTGTTTCTCTTAAGTGCGTAATAGGGGAATGAGATCTCATTCATCTTGTAACATCATCTGTCAATCATTAGTGAGCTAACAAGAGACAGTGGAACGTAATTTGCCCCAGCTCAGCACATGCTCACAAAAGAATTGCATTCTTTCATGCATTACCTTTCTTTCCTTGTGATGCTGCAGCACGTCTGATATATCAACTCCTATGTTGGTATTGTATATGGTCTATTGTAAACAGGTGGTCAGCTCTGGTGAACTTCATACCAAATACTGTCTCTTGTTAGCTCACTAATGATTGACAGATAATGTCATCAGGGAAATGAGATCTGGAGCATTTTTTAGGGTGGAGCTTAGCAGGTCTGAGATAATTATTTTTAAAAAAATATTTAAAAATCAATGAAATATATTTAGATGTTTGAATAATCAAATATTAATTGTATGCAGCCATACACATCAACAGGAATCAACTTATATTAGGATTTCAATCGAACTTTAACTAAGATCTGGGCCGCAGAGACCAGCACAAGGAGATGAATGGAGATCTAAGTGATTACAAAGTAATTAAAAGCAACGCCCTTCTATCTATTTCTATCACTTCTATCATGCACAGAGACAGAAACAGTGTGGTATGATAGTTGCACGTTTCCTTTCTGCTTTGTTTCGGAAGAGGAGACGGGTTTGGTAATATTACATTTAATCACTATATTCTTATATCTACTTACAAAATACTATTCAATGGTTCATTGCTGCCACCATGTGTCATTTGTCATAAATAACATCTCAAACGATGATATCCTGTACCAAACTTTTAATTTGCCTGACTGCATGCTTGGAGGCAGTACCATTGATTAGAAGAGTTTGGCTAACCCGGCTCGAGTTTGCCACAATATGGCAACTATTGCTCTGTTGGGCAAGCACAAAACAAAATAATATACGCCATGTTGTGACCAAGTGAAACCAGGTTGGCCAAACTCTGTGAATAGCTGGCTCTGATTGGAGGTAAGGTACACTAATTGGAGGCAGAGCCATCTATACACAGAGTTTGGCCAACTTGATTTCACTGGGTCACACCATGGCGTATATTCTTTTGTTTTGTGCTTGCCCAACAAAGCAGTAGTCGCCATGGTGTGTCCAACTCGAACCAGGTTGGCCAAACTCTGTGTATAGATGGCTCTGATTAGAGGGGTTCTCTAGCGCCCTCTCTCAGTATAAACATTATAGTCTTAACTTGTAGATCACATAAACATAATGTTGTCACGCATTATTATGATACATTTATCAAGGGCAATTGGGACAAATGTCAAATCTGTTTTTACCTCGAGGGTCTAACAAAGTATAAACATGATTAATACCTTTCGTAACAAAGAATGGCAATCAACCAGTCATCAGTATTCAATGGGGCTGACCTCGGATCGGATCCCGATCCCGTCGGATCGGGTGGTCGCGTACGTTACCCGACCTTTGAAGTTTATGAAAACATGACGAAATGTCGGGATTACGTTTTTAAAATAAACTCCTCTCATCTACGAATGGTCTGGTCCAATTTACCCGACACTTTGTGATAACCCTATGGCAAATCGAAAGAGAAATAGATAACATCAGTGAAAAATATATTATTGTGCATTGATATTTTTAATTGGGATGGTCTAAAAACGACGATAAATAATACTCGTGCATGAAATACATGTATAGCAAATTCAAATAAATCCGGGGAGAGTAGGGCTCTTATTTTTCTAAATCTTCAGGCCCGAGTATCGTGTCGCAGTCTCAAGAAAATGACAAGGAAGCGGGTATTTCTAGATATCCCGTCGTCCTATTGTTATGATGCTGTTGTGAAAGATGAAGAGAGTGGGATGATAGTCCTAGTGCAGGATGGTTTTACCATGGAAGATGCTCTACGGGACGCCACCAATGTATTGATTGACAGGCTGACATCTGCAGGGCAGATGAAAGGTAAAAAAATCCCTTCTTTCTTGATAAAAAAAATCATAGATATTTTATGAAGTTCAAGTCAAGTTCAATTTATTATCGGTGGTTTACAGCGCCCTATCCGAACAATCCTTGTTTTAGCTCATGCTGGAATCAGGAATCCCATGAATTTTACAAGACGATCGCTGGCCGATTATGATTGGAATTCGAAATTTCAAAAACCGTTTTCCCCACGGTTTTTATAACACTACAGTCTATTGGGAAAATTGAGTATGGTAAAAGCGGACACTGTAAAATTTTGTTTTGAGGCACTTCATGATCATTTTGAATCGCAATTTTTTGTTTTGGGCTTCAATATTACACCAGATCACAGATACTGATAACACGTAGGGCCCGGTGCATCTCAACTGGAAACATTGTTATACAAAACCTTTAAGTGTCCGGATAGCAAACCCCCATCATATTTATAAAACGACAGGGAACGTATAATTTGATAAGCTGTATTTTCCTGGTCCTCTTCAGAGTCCACTTCCTGTTTGGTGCCAGCTTATTCATCCCCACTCGTGCTCATCCAAGGTAGTTGTCCTCCGGGAGAAGGCATCAAGTGTGATACCGTATGTGAGTTTGCCTGCAGTGGTGCTAGCTATACCATGGTTGGAAATCATACCATTAAGTGCGAGCCAAATACAACTCTATCCAATGTCTTCCCTCGTTGCCAAGGTAGGTTTACAAGCTTGTCATGGTGATACTGCTTGCTTCGAATCATCGGATCATCGCGTTCGTTTGGATAGTCGGGTTACACGACCTTTCTTGAAACGAGAGCGGAATATCATGGGAATATGCACGTTGAGGACACCACCCTTCCTAGATTTGCCGTAGGGTTAGTGTCGGGTAAATTGGACATGACGATTTGTGGATAAGTGGGGTTAATTTCACACATAATTCCCCCCTGACGTTTCATGCATACAAAGGGGCGTGTTTTCACAAGGGTCGGGTAACTCGACCACCCGACTCGACGCGGTGACCCGATGATTCGAAGTAAGCCGAAAGATACAGGGCCTATATGCCTGTCTTGAATGAGGCAAGGTGGCTCTGTGGTAGAGCAATGGTCTAGTAGCTTGGATGATCCAGATTCGAAACCAAGAGAATGATCGATTGTTCTATGAGAAGGCACTAATCCCCTTTATCAAGTCCCTTCGAGAGGATCTGGAACCGTCGGTCCCCTGTATTCTTACAAGCATGCACAGGCTCTATAGCAGCCAGGTGGAAACAACCATCAAACCAAAAGGCAAACTTTAATTCACGCAGTCTATATTTAAACCAATGTCTTCTGATATATACGAAAATATTAATTTTAGTTTCTTGATTTTCTTGATTTGAGCCGTTACAAAGCTGACCAATGAACTTCACCACATGAGAATGTTATATTCATCCTATTCATGTTTTATTCTAGTGGAAAAGTGCTTTTATGTGATTTTCTGTCTTTCGATAAATTTTGATTTCAAGTGGATTTAGTGCCTTACCAATCTTATATTTTTATCGTTATCATTATTGTCTTCTGTGAATTATAATTTTTAGTTAAACAATCTGGGGATGATATTATACATTGCCAGTGATGGATTACTTGATAGTTCACGGCTAATAAGTTTTTTTCTTCTAAACCTTGTTTGCATAAACATAAACGACGCGATAGGCCGAAGGATACATTGATTCATTTCATTTTGGTGGGTTTTAACCGATTTAAGTAATTTTCGGTTGTCTTATTACACAGCAAATAAACAACCAACCACACGCATCACCACGACTACTATAACAGCATCTTCGACAAACCATGTGCTTCATACGACGACTAGTTCACCACGCTCGACAACAAAGAAAAGTCCTTCCACAAAGAGGGTTTTTACCACGCAGATGAATTCTTCCACAACTGAGAATGCTCTCTCAACGGGAAATCCGACGACACAGCAAGGTCCTCCAGCGACTAAGGATCCGTTGACGTCGGAGGGTTCATCGACTAAGAAGGGTTCTGGGACCACTGGGAGTCCTACCACCAAGGACAACCCAACCACAAAGAAAGGTCCTAGTCCTACCACACCAAGGAGTCATTCCACTCCGAAGACAGTTCCTTCTACTTCTGCTCTTCCTCAGACATCACGTAGTAAGTCCCACAGCTAAATAGTTTGTGTATGGAAGGACTCCAAATAGGAGCTCTTTAAAGCCCCACTTCACTACTTACAGCTACGTGCGCCCTCTATATAGCAAACAATTCCTCATCGGTGACCATAATTGGTCCCCCATTATCCTCTTTTTCTTATGATAAGTGAGAGCTGATTTGATGAGATAACCACTTGTCAGTGACCTTGCAGGATGGTCTAATCCCTCCTGTAAACTAGTACAGATGGGCTTTAAAGGTTTTTCGTATTTAGCCTAAATTCCTCATTTTATTACTTGATTTTATGTACAATAAACCGCTTTGATATCTGAAGTAGTGTCAGTAGAATACCCTGCCTTTAACATCAGTATCAATAGTACAAAATACATTGTCACGTTATATCCCTTATCGTAAGATTGTTGCATTTAGCTGTATACACAACAAGAACAACAATAGTTTTGTTAGAAAAGACGTTTCCTGCCGAGTAGTCCATTTTGTATTGCTGACGTCACGAACAGTTCACTTTTTCCCTTGGGAAAAAGTGAACTATTCCATTTCCCGCCCCCTCCCAAACTGGCAAAATTCAGCGAGCGTACGGGATTTTAAATGCCTCCAGCGGCCAACTCGTGCGTTGTCACGGCGGTCATGCCGTGCAATTTATGCCGAGCCGCAGTAACTGCACTACACTACTGCAGTACCTGTATAGCGCCAGCTAAAATATTTACAACACCTCAAAGTTTCACTAGAGTCGTGCAATTTTCTTGTATTGCTTTTTAGAATGGGATGTGAATGTGAGTACGGTACATGTTATTACAGAAGTGTCCAAGGAATAATACAGGTGGAAGGGATATCAAACGAATATACAATGACTCATTCGCGGAACAAGCTAAAATTATTCGCACTCAGGAACATCAATAGCAATAGTTTTAGCTAGATCCTCGAGGGTCATTTTATATTTGTCTACTATAAGTCATTAGATAATAATTTTTTTTTTTTTATCTTACAGCATTTAGGAAGTTTGGACTTATTGGCTTCTTAGGCGTCCCCCTACTCCTTCTGCCAGTAATTTACATCATCTATAAATTACGTCACAGACATGACAGACTACAGGTATTTATACCTAAGGCCTATATATATATTGAGCAGGATCGGCGACCCCGGGGGGGACGGGGGGGGGGGACACGTCCCCCTCCCTGGAAAATTTGAAAAAGTGCAAACAAAAAGTGTATAGCAAATACTGACTAAGGACTGCAACAAACTTTAGGCTATTGAGGGCCCAGGAGAGTTGCGTTTAGAAAAATGAAATGCAAAAATCATCTCGCTCCCAAGCATAGGCCTACATCCTTCAAAGCGTACAAGTAAATATTGTAGAAAAGTGAAGCGTGAAAAAATTATATCGCTTGTTTTTATACTATAGATTTGCTAAGGCATGTAATTTGTTAATACCACAAAACGTTAAAAACTTGTGGAGGGGGGGGGGGTAGTCACTTCCGTCACATTCACCCCTCTCGTACACTATGCTCCCTCGGACTGGCGTAATGATGGGGGGCTTGGGGCAGTTGCCCCCTCAATAAAATTCAAACGTTGTTTATTTCTGATTCGATACCAGTGATTTACAAATGTTGCTGAAATGGCATGGTATTTCCCAGGACCCGACCAAGGCCCTAAGGCGGGCCCCTGGATGCTCATCTGACCGTTATTAAATGCCTTAAACCCCTGAGCTTTCGGGGGCTCTGCCCCCCCCCTCCCTGGACCCTACAAGGGGGCCCTAAGGCGGGCCTCTGGATGCTCATCTGACCGTTATTAAATGCCTAAAACCCCTGAGCTTCATGAGTCTATGCCCCTTGACCCCCGCTGGGCCTTTGCCCCTGGACTTTACACCAATTTACGTTCCACTTGCTTCGCTCGCTTTGCCCCACCTGATCTTTAATACGTTAGACCCCCCCCCCCCCCACACTTTGAAAAACTTTCCGCGGGGGCCTGCATGTAACATGTAAGACCGGGTATGATGCGGATTTCTTTCTGCACACCCCCCCCCCCCCCCTCCCAACGTTTTTGTTCATTATGCCCCTGCTCCATCGTCCCTAGCATTTCGAAAAGAAGTCGCTGCCCCTGATATTGAGAGACAGAGAGACAGAAAGAAGCAAAGATAACTTCTGTTTATGTTTCTATTTCTTTTGTTTTTTGTTTTATTCTACAAAACTTGCTCAGCGTCAAAAATAACCATACACTAATCGAATTCTTAACTTCAGCCCGGGACCAAACACTATACCTAATTACATATTTACCTAACTCTAACCATAAACCTTACCACAGACCCAATCATAATCACAACCTAGCCAGTATACATGGTATACCTTTGAAGAAATTAAGCCGGGAGCAAATTTCGGGTCATCATATACTAGTTGTTGAATTTATTCTTAGACAGGTCAAAATACAAAATTGGGAATTAGACTCATTTAGTTTTTTTAGAAATTGCCAAGAAATGCTCAATAAATTGAACTACTTTCAGATACCTTTAAGTTTAAAACTTTCGGATTCATTTACTTTCTAAAAAAATTGTGTTTTAATTTATTTTAATCGTTCTTGTATACGATTTTGTCAATTTTATATTTGCATTTATATGAAGTACTGGATATACGAAAAAGTTTCTCAATTAATACACTTTTCACTTTCTTATAGTACCGTGTTCTTGATGAAAATACAGTGGAAGACGATATTGTTGGTATGTAGCGGTTTCTTCCGGGCCCCGTCTTATAAACAGTTGCGATTAATCGCAATTTATTTGCGATTGATAGTAATCGCAACGAAGTACAAAAGAGATAAGAGACTGCAAACTTGTAATTGATTGAAGGACTTGCGATCGATTCGGGGAACTATGCCTCCACAAGGCCATTTGGTCTTATATTTTGATTTCCTATATTTATGTTCTTATATATTCCAAATGCTTATCATTGTATATATCTTTATATGGTTTTTATTGAAAATGAAACGAATTGAAATTGAATTAAATACGGATCTATCGCAACTCTTTATAAAGACGAGGCCCTTACTTGCATTTTATCTTAATTGTATTAATATGGCATCATGTTATGACGTACCATTAACATATATTTTTTGTAATGCCTATATCCTGGTATGAGGTAAATGAAGTCGAATTCGTACTTTAAAACTTGCATCTTCTTTTGATTTGAATAATGTTCTTTAATTTCTTTCGTATTCGTATTTCATCTATTTATAATTATTTCATAATGCCATAATTATTTCATCGGTCTAAGAGCACAGGTCCAACATTATAGTTTTCACCTATTTTGAAATTTCCTCGTTTACTGACATTCAAAAATATATATTATCTAGAAGTAGTTTGAATTCTCAAATGGATCATGAGATGTTGTGTGTTTGCCGCCAAAACACGATCGCAGAGAATTTCGAAAATCAACTCAATCAAGTTCAGTTATTTGAATCACCATGTTTGGATGACTAAAAACCTCATTTTAATGTTCGCACATGTTTATAAGCTGGTGAGCGATGCTATCATAATTGCACTAGGTAGGTTGTTTTTGCGAATGTCTCTGTGATCATCATGTTCCGGTGGTTTGTGCTGATCAACACTCGGGGTAAATAAAGGGCTACTTTCTGGGCTAAGATGATGAACAGGAATGTTGTGAATTAAAATCATTTTGTACGGATTCACCGTCTGTTTGACAAATAGTCGCTCTTTCCATCACCCCCACCCCTTCTAACACACACATACACACACCCACGCACGCACACACCACTACACACACATGTACACTGTTTTGTTTTTCTCTCTCTCTCTTTCTTTTTTTCTCTCATTCCCTCTCCCCTCTCTCTCTCTCTGACCCTCTCTCTCTTCTCCCACCCTCACTCATCTCTCTTACTCTATCTCTCTCTTCTCTACCACCCCTTCCCCTCTCTTTCTCTCTTCTTTCTCTCTCTCTCTCTCTCTCTCTTTTTCTCTTTTTCTTCTCTCTCTCTCTCTCCATTCTTCCCATCTCTCTCCACCTCTTTCTAGTCCCCTTTCTATCTCTTTCTAGTGCTCTCTCTCTCTCTTTCTCTCTCTCTCTCTCCCTTTTTCTCTCTCTCTCTCTTTTCTCTCTCTCTCTCTCTCTCTCACTCACTCTTCATACAGATATTCCTCCTGATGTTGATGGGTTGTATAAAGACAGGCACATCTCCCCAGCCCTTCCATCTGATCAACAACTCAACCGGGAAGAGGTTAGTCCATTACTAAATATTTCCCCCCTCTTTTCTTCTTCATTGCTCCTTGTTCACTAGCGTATTTGGGCAAGTGGGGGGAAATTTACCCCTCCTGATAGATTTCCGACAAAGAAAGATAATGTATTGTAACGAATATTATAACTATTATTTATCTAGTGTTACACGATGGATGAACGCAATAAGGGTCTGGTCTTCGTCTTGAACAACTACCTCTTCGGTCCCGATCGAACGAGGGAAAGAAAAGGGTCTGATGTTGACTTAGCCAATGTAAAACATGTCTTCACCGAGATTGGCTATACGGCAGACGAAGCTCAAAATCTCACTGCTGAGGTAGGATTGTTGGTATACTTATAATGATAATAATAATAATTACTATAATAATAATAATAATAATAATAATAATAATAATAATAATAATAATAATAATAATAATAACAATAATACTACTATACTAATAATAATGATTACAATAATACTACTAATAATAATAATAATCCGTGCTTATATAAAGCTTGAACAGAAGGCATTGTTTGCGAGAGTGCAAAAATCGACTTGCGCCAAAGTGATGCCCCACAGTATGTATTATGTTGGGATTATCAGAGTGAGAGAATGAATTGAATGTATCAAATGAAATGCATTGCAAATGCTTTTTGCAGATGCAAAGTCACACACACACACACGCTCACAAATGATCGTTCATAATTTATATTCGAATGTGTGGCATGATTAATGTTGTTAGGGCTTTTATTTGGATCTGCAAAAACCGAATTAATATCCAATTCCCAAATGTTTTATTCAAACATCACATAAGCAACTTTGGCGCAAGTCGATTTTTGCACTCTCGCAAACAATGCCTCCTGTTCATCCAAGCGTAAACACATACCACACAAAATGATACTAAATGATTCGGAATAAAACACTCTTTCATAAGATGTATAATAATTATTTACTGTTCATAGATTATTTCTAAAATAATGAGCAATTTTCTAGGTGTAAATTTTTTGTTTGACTCACACTGTACAGTCAGGTGAGTTATACACTAGCTAGACCACATCATATCTAAACCATGTGTTTTGGGGCCTGAAGAACTAACCAAAAAAAAATCATAAGGGGAAATATAGGAAGAAAAATGTCGGTCTCGTGAGCTGTCGGTTTCGTGAATCCTCTGAAAAGTGGTTAGACGGATAATGTCGGTTGTCCGAGTCTTACTTGTGGGTTGGCAGTCTCATGGGCCGTTACATTTTTTTTGTCAAACGGCACAATTAAGAAACCGGCATTGTCGGTATAGCTGGAGAGCTGTCGGCCTGTCGGACCATCAGTCACGGAGGCTGTACCTGCTATCAATGACCGCGCAATTCTTTTTTCATTTTTTTTTGTATTGATTCCAAACAATACAAAATTAATTTTAGAAATAAAATACAGTTGTTTTTCCTTGACATGAATTCAAAACATTTTCATTACATAGATTTTACAATAGATGAAAACAAAAACGAAATCATTTGTAACATAAAACAAATAACCCCATCCAACCAAACACACTACAACCAAGCACACACACACACACTGCACACACGCACACACGTACGCACACACACACGCACGCACACAGAGCCAGCTCCATGCATTATCAAAGCATTTATATTGTTCACCCTTATCCACTTTAAAGGGGATCAGACAGAAGCTGAAGAGCCTAACCCAGAAGATCTTATCCTCTCATACTTCGGTGGTTCTGGTATTCATGAGTCACGGAAAGGAGGCAGGTATTCAGGGTACCGACGAGGAGGTTGTGACCGTAAAGGAAATCAAGGATATGTTCTCTGGGAACAACTGCCCAGCCTTGATTGGGAAACCAAAGATCATGATCTTCCAGGCTTGCCGTGGAGGTTTGTTTTATTTATTTCAAAACGGTAATAAAAAAAACATTTTTCAGCGGCAAGGCTTTTTTCAGCAAGTCCGTAAACGAAGAAGACAACATTACAAAAAATAACATAGTAGTTACAAATTATTTACAAAGGATGAATACAGATTTAAAAAACGTAAATACAAGTAATACACAAATTATTATTTAAAAACAAAACAATTTGAGTAGAAATAACAAAAGTAGTAGTAGGGAAAACAGAAAAATCATACAGACGGTATTTACGAACAGACAGTTTCATGATCAAAATCTCGGTAACTTAAAAAAAAACTCATTGGAAAAATATGTTGAATGCATATGATAAAAGCCGGTAGTTTGGTTTGCGTTTCCACATTTTGAGGGAGGTTATTCAACAATTGACTGGCAGTGTTTATTTAGCTTTTTTCAAAAAGTTGGTGTAAAAAGAGTAAAAAGTGTAAAAGAGTAGCGGTGGTTCTCCTTAGCATATATAATGAGCATAGCATGTATAATGTACAACTGTATTCATGGAAAAGCCCCAGTACAATTATGCAATGAAGTGGAAATGGTTTTTGACAGACAAGGTTTTAACACTAGACTTGCCAATACGCTAAATGTTGTTTTACCCAAGCCTAATCTTGAATGTTTTAAGAATTGTTTTAGATGCGCTGGTGGTAAAGTCTGGAATAGTTTACCTTTTGCTTTTCAAAATGCTAAATCTATCAATGTTTTAAAACGTTTGTACAAGGACAATTTTGTTTAAAGCTGTGGGATACAATGCCGATTCATATACTGCTCTTGACATGGCTTATTTCTCTCTCTCTCTCTCTCCCCCTTTCTGTCTCCCCCTCTTTCTTTCTTTCTCTATTCCTTCTTTACTTTCTACTAATTTCCTTATTTTTTCGCTGTTAATTTTAATTATTACATTGTCGTTTTTTTGTTTAATGTTGTGCTTTTTAATACTTTAATGCGTATACTCTTATATCTTAGTTTTGTAGTGTTATTACCTTTGCTTGTGAGCTTTGGTGATATTCATTATTTATATTTCCGTGTACTACATTTTTATCCTGTTCAGGACAATGATGTAAAACAGATTTTGTATCTACAATGAATATCTGATTCTTGTTATCCTGAATAAATATATTTCAATAATAAAACAATAAAATAAATAAATAAAACGGTTTCGTAAGATTTGAGATCGAATAGTGTCAATATGTGGTCTCCAAGCAAATTCCTTGTCAATAATAACACCTAGATAGTTGCATTTATATACTCTATATGTTACTATATACTAACATTGCCAAATAATTTGGTCGTACGCTTAGAGCCTATATTCAGCTTGCATTTGTTTTACATTTAATAAAAGCTCTTTATGAGTTAACCAGTTTTTTTTTAAGAGGCTAAATGCTCGTTAATCACGTCATGCATTTGTCTGGGGTCTGTTGATGAAGCAAATATCGTCAGCATATGAAGTGACATTTTACAATGTTTCATTACTTTAGGAAGATCGTTCCTGTAAAGTATAAAAACAAACTGTGCGATTCTTCCACAATGAAAAATAATATCGATTCACAAGATTCATAACTGTCGTAATACGGATAAGGCAGCAATAAAGAAACTTGAGAGCAGCTTGATGGTAGGTTGGGTGATGAGCCCATTTATTTGTTGATCATCATCATCGCATAAAGAAAACCCTGCAAATCAATCAGATGTGCCAAACATAAATACAAGACAAGTATAGATTCTTATCAACATATATCTGATTCATAGTATACAACAATGTGGGCGAGATAAACAGACAGTAAATTATCACGCTGTTGGTTTACATTCCATAGCATAGCGTAGCATTCATTATCGAATCAGTTACATACGGTTTTGAAAAAATGCAAAACAGGTCAAACACAACTGCAATTACTTTTGAGAAAAAAGCACCAAACAACCTATTAAAGGGAAATCCAACTCTAGAGAAAAGCAAAACAATTAGAGAAGTAGACTGGTGAAAGTATAAATAAAATCGGACAACAAATGGGAAAGTTGTGAATATGGGCTCTTCGAATTGGCTGAATCGCTAATGTCTCTTTTTAGAAGACCTATAATACGTTATCGATAAGATATTTAGAGTAGTGCCCAAAGGGAGAAGGTACCGTCCTAGAAGAAAAGAAATAAATGTGTGAACATGACAAACGGGGGAGTAATTCGTAACTGCGTCACAATCCACCGACCAAACTGCCACTTTGAGATTCGCATATCGTATTTCAAACATTCATAACTTTCTTATTATTGTCCAATTTATTTCAAACTTTCACCATTCTGGTTAATAAATTTGTCTGCTTTCATTCAAACGAACTGAATTCATTACAAAGGCTGGATTGCAATTGAAGGAATGTTCTTGTTTAATAATGTATTTCAATTTATGAATGTTTCTCTGCGAACTCTTGGTTACCAACTATTTGAATGACCTGTTATGCAAAATACCAGCTCTATAGATGGAATTCACTATGCAAACAGTAGTGCTATGTCGGGCACATCTCTTGAATGCAATTTCTTCAGTGTTAATTCTTTATAATCATGGCACATAACAAAATCTCCATGTGCCACGTTGTATGTATTATAGGATATATATGCGAAAGATATACTTCAAGATTATTCGACTGTTCCCAGTGCAAGATTAATCTATATCAGTGGTATTAAAACGGCTTGTCATGTAAGACATCAGGACCGGAATACACCAGTTTACAGTTGTGTGCGCCATTTTAAACAAAGCTAATGACCTAGGAGTCATGTATTTATGCGTAAATTAAGATTGCGCCCATGCAAATAATGATGACATCACTGCCTGCGCGCTGCGTTGTGCGCGCACATCATCATTTGCATGGGCGCAATTTTAATTTACGCATAAATACTAGAGGTCAGAGGTTATTGGCCCCAATTTTGGGGCCAATGACCCGAGGTCAACTGTCTGCGCATGCGCACTGATACAACTGTAAACTGGTGTATAAGACCAATTCGTAGATATAATTTGCGCATGCGCAGCTAAAGGTCACCTGTACAAAATTGTAAAATCCACTAATACTGGAAACATGCTCACGATTTACGAAAGTTATGTAATCACTATTAATGCATGCACATATGATACATTCTATTGAACACAGGTGGAAGAAATCCTTTCAAAAGGGCAAAAAAGAATCACCTCCATGGCTTTAGCTGTGATTATTCCACAGGCACAAAGTGGGATTTATCTATGTTATAGATGGATATTTTGGGTCATCTGAACCATGTGCTAACTTCGAATTAGTCTATTCTTCCATCTAACAATTATTAACTTAATATCAAATCCGCGAACTCACAAGCACATAACCCTATGAAGAAAGTAATGGTGAATAAAAACGACTATTTAAAAAACGGCACGGTCAAATAAAAGAAAAAGCTGCGCGTTCACACATACATTATTTTTGGTATTTATCGCTTCCACTGACTGCACCACTTGAATACAACGTTCACCGATGACAAATGCAGAAGTCAAAGAGTTGTTTGCCAATTAAGTTTTGGAATTTCTTTTCTTCTTATTGTTTTCAGAAAAAATCACGCCGAGTGCTCCATCTATCTCCAGCTCCGGAGTGGATAATGGAATATGTACAGACTTCGTCGGGACTGATGGGGGAGCAGGGGATGGAGGGGCTACCATGGTAACAAAGGATGAAGCATGTTTGACATCACCGGGTAGAGTTGGAGGAGGGGAAGTGGAATTTGACTGCAGTGTAGCGGACAATGCTGATATGTACATTGCTCAATCCACGTCTGAAGGTATGGGAAGAAATGATGATGGGGGAGTGAAAGTTAGAGTGAGAGAGAGAGGGGGGAGAGACAGAGAAAACGAAAGAGAGAGAGAGGGGGGGAAGAGGAAAAGAGAAGGTAAGGACAGAGGGAGAGAGAGAGATAGATAAAGAGAAAGAGATAAGGGTGTGGGAAGCGAGGAAGAGAGAGAGGGGAAAGGGAAAGAGAGAGAGAGGGGGGCAAATAGAGATATAGCGAGAGAGAAAGAGAGAGAGAGGGGGGCTGAAGATCGAGAATGGGAAGAGAGAGAGAGAGAGAGAGAGGGGGAGATTGAAGGTCGAGAAGGGGAAGAGGGAGAGAGAGCAGTAAAATGAAGAAGTTGCTGTACACTTACGATGATTATACTCTCATTAACAGGCTATTTCTCACTACGGCACCGACAGAACGGATCTTGGTTCATTCAGGCCCTCTGTGAAGAGCTGATCGCCAGTGCACACGACCACCATCTCGATGACATCATGACAAAGGTTTATTTTTTTAGTACATCATTTTCTTTTCGACTTTGTTTTAGATGAGCGGTACATGGCGTGGCTGCAGGGGGGCACAGGGACAAATTCCCCTAAGAGAGTATATGAATAATGAATGAATTCTATTGTTTTGTTCCGAACCCCCCTGATGCCCCCCCCCCCCCCCCCATCATTATGTCGCCCATTCAGGGGAGGTGTCGTGGCTCATTCACTGGAATCTCATTCCAAGGGTTGAGGGTTCGAATCTCGGCACTAACGTCTTCGGGCGAAACATGACTCCACATTTGCCACTCTCCCCAGGTGTATAGACCTATCTGCCAGATGATGGGGGTAATAACAGCTGCGGGGCCCTCAGGAAGAAGAGCATTGGTGCTGATGGGGCTTAATGGCTCAGCTAGAAAAAGAAGAAAGTATAAGAAGAGACGAATGGTATTCAGCCAAAGTTTTTTCTTTCTTCTTCTTCTTCCTTCCCGCTATCTTTTACTTTTTCTTCTTTGTCATCATCATCATCATCATCTTCTTCTCCTTCTACTTCTTCTTCTTAACTTTCTTCTTCTTCTTTTTCTTCTCCTTCTTCTTCTTTTCTTCTCCTTCTTCTTCATCTTCTTCTTCTTCTTCTTCTTCTTCTTCTTTCCCCCTTGTTTCTTACTTTGAAGGGAGTGGGATGGGTTTCGTGTGTACACTGGGTAGATAATTCTAGATCCGCCTCCATTCCACATTTCTCTCTTGTGATGCGACAGCCAATCATACCTTTGTATCTATAAGAGCTATTTGATAAAAATTTAAATATTTTTTCTTTTCATAATCATTCATTCATTTAGGTAACGGACAGAGTGAAACGCCAGGAGGGATATATGGTCTACCAGCAGCGACGACAGCTATTCCTGCAGACCCCGCAGATTATCAAGCAAGGGATAGGAAAGAAGATCTTCTTCTTACCAAAATACCCGCCGCCAGCAGGAAGTCGTTAAGAGGCATCTTTAAAGCTAATATTGAGCTCTGGTATGCAGAGGCGGCGGAGCATTGCCCCCCCCCCACACTTTTTCAAGTTTCCCTGAAGTACTCCCTTTTACATAGGAAAGGTGCCCCCTTTTACTTCTGATAAGTGCCCCTTTTCATCTTTGAAGAGTGTCCCTTCTCACCTAACATAAGTGCCCTCTTTTATTTTGACACGTGTCCTCTTGTCTTTACAATAAGTGCCCTTATTCCTTCTGATAAATGCCCTTTTTCCTTTTTAATCAGAGCCACTTCCCTTTCTCATAAATGCCCCTTTTCACACGTTTGATAAATGCCTCTATTAAAATCTTATAGGTGCCCAACTTCCTTTTGTAATACGTGCCCCTTTCCATTTTCACAAGTGCCCCTATTAATTTCAGGTGATTGCCCCTTCACCTCTTATAATTGCCTCTTTTCAAATCTGAGAGATGTACCTTTTATCCTGACAGTTTAAAGTGCCTCTTTTCATCTCCGGTGAGTGCCCTTATTAAAATTTGGGAGGTGCCCCCTTTAGCTTTGTAATAAGTGCCCCTTTTCATCTCTGATAAGTGCCCCTTTTATTTTGACACATGCCTCTAGCCTTTTTAATCAGTGCCATTTTCTTTCACATAATCACCCTTTTACTTTTCTAATAAGTGACCTTTTTCATCTCTCACATTATCAGGTGCGAGTAGTGTCCAATTTTTCACCTCTGATAATTCCGATTTTTACTTTGACACGAGCTCCTTTTCCTTTCTAATAAATGTCATTTTTACTTTGGATATGTGTCCCCTTTTCTGTTCACCAAAAATGTGCTCCTAATTTAAAGTGACCAAGAGCAAATTTTTCTTCAATTTCACCCAAAGCTTGCTTGCTACCCACACTCACATTTTTAAATTAATATAATTTTTTTTCTTATTTAAGATCTTTTCTATCTCTCATGATCGGGATTGTTTTATTCTCTTTGTAAGATGTTATTTTTAGCACTGCAACTTCACAAATCTTAGAAGTTTTGCTTGCTCGCTTAGCTCGCTCGCAAATTAATATTAAGACCATCACTCCCAACTGCAAAGTTTGATGCTTATAAAGCATTGTCTTGGAACATGCAAAGAAAGAAACAAACAATGAAATCACCCCTGATAATCTTATCACAATGTAGGGGTATAAGGGCCTATATATAGATTATATATTTTCGATTTGAGGTTTCCTTTGTAGGTGCCCCATTTTTTTTTTCTCCAGAAAGCGCCCCTTTTTTGTGTTGGTGCCCCCCCCCCCCACCTTGAAAGATGCTTCACTGTCCCTGCTGGTATTGGAATCATTTTTTACAGAAGATTGCTATGATTTATTCTGGATTGTTTATCCCGCAGTTTTGGTTTTTTGAACCAGTACAAAAAAAATATACACACAAAAACGTACTGGGCATCATCTTCAATAAAAACCACAACTCCCATTTGTACACAGTGACCTGTGTAAGCACATGATGTCGGGCCTACTTACCCGGATTTCCTTATCATTCTATGCTCATTACTCAGCCACTATACATTTTTACCAAACAATTTTGTCACATGAATTTATTTGTAAACTTAAACATTAAGTGTAAGTTTCGTTGGATTCTGTGAGAAATAATTTTTTCATATTTACCAGAACTCAAGTTTTTAATTAACTAAGTAGTGATAAATGCAACTTATGCAAGGGTTGAAGCATATTACTCTGAAAGTTAGATCATTATGTAACCAAGAGTGTATTGTAATAGGTTAGTGAATTGTTCTAAGATTGTTATACATATTAACGCATGCTCCTGTGACAATTATTGCTGCGCAGTAATTTCTGAATTAATTGAATTCCATTGATTTTTACAAAACAATATACATACATCGTTCTTTTGAAGCTTGTAAATACGTCTAAAAACTGTTCTCCTACTGATTTTGACGAAAAAACTAATTTTCCTCATTAACCAAAATCTTATTCTGTGTTTTGCAAATATATTGTAGTACATTGTAGTATAATCATATGTAATTATGCGAACAACTACCCCCTAGGACTACTACCCCCGGACAGCAAACCCCGGACAGCTACTCCCTAGGACAAATACCCACGGACAACTACACTCAGACAACTACCCCCTACGATAACCATCCTCTAGGATAACTACCCCCCCCGGATAACTTTCCTAGGGGGTAGTTGTCCTAGGGGGTAGCTGTCCGGGGGTTGCTGTTCGGGGAGTTGTCCTAGGGGGTAGTTGTCTGGGGGTGGATATCCGAGGGTAGGTGTCGTAGAACCGTAATTATGGTGTCCGAAAAGTGATGTTGAAAAGGGAAAGAGTGTCATTGTGCTTTTGTTTTACACAAAGTATGTAAATAGTCATATGGGGGAAGGGGCTTGGATACGCATATAATAAGGGCAAGGTCCAGGGCTCGGGAGGGGGAAGCCTGGGTGGGGGTGCCCCCAGCTTACCTGCGCTTGGCAACTAGCTATGCTATGACTTGTAATCCCGGCTCATGACAAGAAAATCGGCGCCCCTATTACGCATTGTAGTTTGTATAGTATATGATGACGTCAATAATTAAAGCCATGCATATACATTATGCACGACCTCTTTTCTACCATAATTATACATGTTTGTTTTTTTACGCGACGTTGTGAACCTATGATCATGATGATGCTTTTCGTGTTGTTGTTGTTGTTGTTAATGATGATGATGATGAGGTTTGATAGTGCTAGTGATGTACGGAAATTATTGAACATATTCATCTTATGATGAATTAACTTATTAATATGTGGTAGTTACGATTCATCGATTGTTTGTATAGGCCCCTACTCCAATAAATGCATCGTCTTTTGAAGACATTCTTGCTCTTTAATACAATTAAAGCTTTCCTTTTTTTTAATCTATTTTATGAAAATATGGTAAAGCGTTTATGTAAAATGTCTTTAGATATCATAGCATAAAATATGAAATAGATCACATGTGCTCAATAGCTGATGAAATGCAAATATAGAAAAATAACTATTTTGTTTAAACTTGACGTATAGACAATTCTTTTGACACTACAACGTGAACATAGAGTGTGTTAAAAAGAGGGGACGAAGTACATTAATTTAAGAAAGAGAGAGAGAGGGGGAGATAGTGGAGAGAGACAGAAAGAGAGAGAGAGACAGAGAGAGAGAGACAGAGAAAGAGAGACAGAGACAGAGAGAGAGAGTGGGGGCTATATCAGCGAAGCCGTGCAGAGAAAGGTGATCAGCTCAGATCAGCACAGCAATACTTTGTACGTGTATTTCGCAAATAACTGTATAGCGCAACCTACAAATGTATTTGCAAGTAGGACACTCCATTTTTCGGAATTTTTTAATTGATCTCTGTCGTCCTTCTCTATCATTTCTTTCTTTTTTATTTTATAACTATCTTTCTTTCTGTCTTCTCCTTACTCCTTTTTTAAAATTCATTTCTGCCTTCGATCTTTCTATCCGTATTTCCTTTCTTCCTTTAATAAGATGTAGGCCTACGATGTTTCCGATAGTCTCTCAATTTGATGTTACTAAATTTTAAATGTACTCTCAGTCTCTTTGTCTCTCTCTCTCTCTGTCTCCCCCTCTCCCCTCTAATTCTCTCTCTCTCTCTCTCTTCCCAGCTCACCATCTATACCACGTACACGCTCTAAATTTATATCCTGCTTGAAAATATTGGCTGTACTGCAAACTAGATTCAACCATTTATAACACCTGCACAGATTTTCCTAATTATGTAATTATGTAATATTATGTATAATTACAAGAATAATCCATGAAAATGTCCAATAAATGTATAATGTTATTTCGGGGGGTGGGGGGAGGGGCAACAAAATCTGACAATGAATAAAAGAAAAGAAAGTAAAACACAAAAAGGGGGAAGAAGAAGAAAAAATCGTGTCTTCTCATTTTTTGTTGTATTTTGGGGTCTACTTTATTAAATGGACCAAGGAACCGGATTAGGTGCACATTTTGCTTGTAATCAGCTGTACTACACACACACACGCACCCGCACACACACGCGCACGCACATACACACGAACACGTTTGAAGAGAGATTCCTTCGTGACATGCGTACCTAGAGTATCTCGAGCGAGGCGAGCCTTTTGTTTCCATTCTTAGAGCTTTCTACGGGTTAGTCCAGATTCTCTCCGTTTTTATATATTTTGTTATGATCAATATTTATTGTATTATGTCCTCCTCTCTTACAAGTATCCAACACAGAGGGCGGTGTGTCCATTCATCGCGCGGTCCCCCAAAACAACCCTCGAAAAGAAACAGTCCAGGCATTGGACTTCTTACGGGTTTGTGTAGTACTTAGACAAATTAAAAGATATTTTGTAAATCAGCAAAAATGCCGAGTGAGACAGACACCATACAAATATCCCCCCTTGTTTTAATTTTTTCTGATTCTTTTATCCGTTCTTTTTTGTGTGTGTTTAACGATTTTTCAAGAGATAGCTCTCCGTCTGTCAGACATGGAAACGTATTTTTGTAATTGGTTTTCCACAGAGACACTTAGTATACTTTAATAATTGCGCCACTTAGCTCTATTCTTTAAAAGGCCTTCGATCTACACTCAAAGATAATACTCTGAAAGTGAAGATAATTATCTCTCCTTTTGTCACCAGTCCACCCCCCCCCCCCCCCCTCCCCGAAACCATTCATATTCATAATACACATTAACTATTGCATCTATTACGTTATCATGCAGTTTTCCTAATAGCTATGTAATTATTATTAAATTTCGCCCGTTGCCAAATGACCCCTTTCAAATGCATAATTGTCTTGCATTGTCTAATGTCCGTTTCTTAAGAGGGTACGGGTATTGTAAGGCTTGATGTTAAACAAACAAGGTTAATTAAATTCGTGTAAGACAAGTCCCTACTCCCTGTCTCATCCTAGTCTGCAAGCACAAACCCTGATCAGTCGTAAAAGAGAGTCTGCACTATAAGACTAACATAGGCCAGCTGCTCCTGACACGCAACCAGTAGGTAGCTGGGCTAGGCTTCTCTCAAGGCACAATGATTTTTTAATAAAGTGTCAAATTAGGGTCTGTGCTTGCAGACTAGTCTCATCCGGCCCAGCCCACACGGCCCAACCAACTCCAAACCGATCGACTCTTATAGTTGAATTAAATTGAATTTAGTCGAAATGAATTGAGTTGAATTGAATTGAAATTAAATAAATTGAATTGAGTTGAGTTGAGTTGAAATGAATTGAGTTGAATTGAATTTAGTCGAAATGAATTGAGTTGAATTGAATTGGAATTAAATGAATTGAATTGAGTTGAATTGAATTGAATTTAGTCGAAATGAATTGAGTTGAATTGAATTGGAATTAAATGAATTGAATTGAATTGAGTTGAGTTAATGAATTGAGTTGAATTGAATTGAATTGAATTGAATTGAAATGAATTGAGTTGAATCGAATTGGAATTAAATGAATTGAATTGAATTGAGTTGGGTTGAAATGAGTTGAATTGAATGAATTGAATTGAATTGATTTGAATTGAGTTGAGTTGAAATGAATTGAGCTGAATTGAATTGGAATTAAATGAATTGAATTGAATTGAATTGAATTGAAATGAATTGAGTTGAATTGAATTGTATAATTGCATTAAATTGAATTCAGTGAAGTTAAATTAATTGAATTCAATTCAGTATAATTGAGTACATTAAGTTAACGAGAAATCAGAAATATATATTCGGGGCAAAGTATTTTGTTCGATTTGGTGTTGACCTAGGCCCTGTCTAATAAACAGTTCCGATTAGTCGCAAGTTATTTGGGATTGATCTCAAACACAACTATGTACATAAGAGATAAGAGTCTGCAAACTTGCGATTGAAGAGGGGACTCTGTGCATGGCCTTTTTATCTGGTGTCGATTTAGTTTTAGTTTGAGTGACCGGTGTATTTCGCTGTTATAACAGAGCATGCCCAAGTTACACCAACGAGGCTGACACCAGACCGACACCATAGCGACACCAGACCAACACCATACTGACACCAGACCGACACCAGATTAACACCAGACTGACATAAGACCAACACCAGACCGACACCAAACCGACACCAGACCAACACCAGGCCGATACGAGACCAACACCAGACCGACAACACACCGGACACAAAATTGAATCACCAAGAATGCTCCAGCTCGAAGTGGTTGGTGTGAAGTAGGTTTGGCGGTGTGGCTGAGGCTAAACATACATTCATCATGCAAGAAATACACGTGTAACGTGACGGCTTATACACACGTTACCTATTCCTAATGCCTCTTGGACATTCGACATAATGTTAGTTTGTTTTGGTTGTTGGTGTTTTTGTTCAGCCTGTTTTCTGCATCGTGCCAGTGTGTCTAATGTCTTTTACTGTCAAACAGCAGCCTTATGAACCACACGGGGCGTACGTCGCACGTTAGCACAGGTGGTGCAAACAATTTTTCTTGGTTTAAATTTCTTTCAATTTGTTGTTGATTGGGACAAGGCATTCTGGATTCGGGACTCGAACCTCATACGTGCGAATACTAAGATCCGAAACCCATATACCGTTTCTTCCATGATTGTGACGCGTTTCTATGAAGTGACATCATGTGGACCAGCAGTGTATTCCTCTATGTCGCTACCCTTATCCTGTATTTTAGTCATATCAATATAGTTACTACAAGTGGTGAGTAGCAGGCTCTTTTACAAAACATTTATTTGTTAGATTATTTATTCATTGTTATTTATTCATTCACTCTTTCAACGGTTTATATGCCGTTTGTATAGGTAAAATTCTAAGTTAAATAATTTTGTATATTCATCAATTTATTAATTTCACTTACTTTACGAATCATAACCTTTAAAAAAATTCTCAAAAAATTGCTTAATTTTTGTATAACATTTTACTTATTATATTCCTTCTACTATACTAAAAATCCTTAAAAAAAACTAAAAACCACGAAGATATCTATGGTTTTCTTTGAAGGCGACACCCTTTAACAGTGATTAACAGTAAATTCTCCCAACCCGTTTTTCCATTTAAAAAAAACATACAAAAAAGTAAAACAAGCTATTAAAAATCTGTCAACACTTAAATGTCTGGAATGGTATTTAAAGCCAATTTATTGCTTGTGACGATTTACATTCACCTAAAATGTAATTTTTTTCCAATTTGTATCATTAATAATGGTTCGTTTTCACTCAAATTTTCAGATTATCTTTAAATGTATATCTAGCATTGAAGTCACTACCTTAGCATCACTATCTCTCATCTGAACAATGTTACCAAGTCCCTTTAATGATTGAATAATAATAATTAAAATGCGGATAATAATGATTATAATAATGATGTTAATAACATAATAATAATAATAATTATAATGATATGATAATAATAATAATAATAACAATGATGATAATGATAATAATAATGATAAAAGTAATAATACTAGTAATAATAATGATAATTGTTATGATAATGATAAAAGTAATAATACTAGTAATAATAACGATAATGGTAATGATAATGATAAAAGTAATAATACTAGTAATAATAATTATAATGGTAATGATAACGATAAAAGTAACAATACTAGTAATAATAATGATAATGGTAATGATAATAATAAAAGTAATAATACTAGTAATGATAATGATAATTGTTATGATAATGATAAAAGTAATAATACTAGTAATAATAATAATAATGGTAATGATAATAATAAAAGTAATAATACTAGTAATAATAATGATAATGATAAAAGTAATAATACTAGTAATAATAATGATAATGGTAATGATAATGATAAAAGTAATAATACTAGTAATAATAATGATAATGATAATGGAAATGATAAAAGTAATAATACTAGTAATAATAATGATAATGATAATGGAAATGATAAAAGTAATAATACTAGTAATAATAATGATAATGATAAAAGTAATAATACTAGTAATAATAATGATAATGGTAATGATAATGATAAAAGTAATAATACTAGTAATAATAATGATAATGATAATGGAAATGATAAAAGTAATAATACTAGTAATAATAATGATAATGATAATGGAAATGATAAAAGTAATAATACTAGTAATAATAATGATTATTGCTATGATAGTAATGATGACGTCTCTGCGAAACCGAAGTCACGAAGATTAGTCAGAAGCAACGTATTATACTAATTGAACCGGGTCTGGTGCAATCATTTTTGTGTTTATTTATTTGTTGTTGTGTTTATTTTGTATTTGTTACAAACAGCAATTCCACCGACTGCTCAAGGTCAGCTTATCCGTGACCTTTTGGACACCGGATATGACATCAGAGAGGTACCTTACAGAGCGCAAGATGGTCCCATTGAGGTCATCATCAACTTCTACCTGTTTTCTATTATTGATCTGGTATGATAATTTGGTTGATTAGATATTAATGTTAATATCACCATCATCATAATTATTATGAATAATAACATTAACTCTTATCATGCCACAGGGCTAATCCCCATTGTGCCAAGCCCCAAATCCCTCCGTGCCAAGTTTATTTTGAGATAACCTGATTAACGCGGTGGCTCTATGAATAGCGAGTGCCAAACACACAGCACAGTCCAGTGAGCATGAACAATAACTGCTATTACGAATGCATGCCTGCACGCACAAGGCACTGAAGCAACGGCTCTCTCGCATGTACAATGCACTATAACGGTAGGCATGCAGCCTCATGGCATGCTATGAGTTAATGATATGGATATTTAAACAGCGCCGGTATCCGCCAGGCTCTGACGCTCATGCCGCTTTACACATATTGCCCTTATCGTAGCCGAGCTGCCAAATTAACTAGCGCTCAAGCATATAAGGTTTAATTCAAGTAAATGAAGTGGCATGTGTCAACAAAAATTGGTATGAAATGTATAGTGGCTGAGTAATGAGCATAGCAAGAAAAGATTCGGGTACTTAGGCCCGACACAATGTGCTTAACGCAGGCCACTATTATATGCCCAGTAAGTTTTTACGCATTTTTTGTTTTAATTCACTGGTTCCAAAAAAACAATCTATTGCAGGATAAACAATCCAGAAGAAATCATAGCTATTTTCTCTCAAAATATGATTCCCATACCAGAGCTCAAGCTTAGCTTTAAAGAGTTGTTTGACAAGGGATATTTGCATAGGGTTATGCGTTATACACACAACCACTTTTGAATTCGTGCAGTGATCTTGGGCAGTGCGAAAGAGCCTCACCAGCACGCAAAAGCTCTCTCTATTGTTCTCTCTTTTTCTTTCACTCTCTTTGACTCGTTTACCCCCTTTCTTCTCTCTTTCCCTCTCTCTCTCTCTCTCTCTATATATATATATATATCTGTTTCTCTATCTCTCTTTTTCGCTCTCTTTAACTCTTTACCCCCCCCCCCTCTCTCTCTCTCTCTCTCTCTTTCTTTCTCCCTCTCTCACTCCCTCTCTCCGTCTTTCTCTCTCTCTCTTTATCTTTCTCTCTCTCTCTTTATCCTTCTCTCTCCCTCTCTCTATATATTTATCTCTGTCTTTTTGTCACTCGTTATTTACATTTCCGCTTTCTCTCGTTTAAATCACTTAACCCTGTTCCAGCTAACCTTAAGCGTGATCACTCAATACCGTGCTTTACTCATGCTGTTTATGGGTAACAGTGTATTACACAATTGCCTTTATATTAAATACACACTTAATTAAAGGCAGCAATTCCATTTTGCGAGCTTGTGCAAGCTCAATGAAACTTGGTGAGTGTTTAAAATATATCCTGCAACAATATCGTGTGTGATTTTTTTACAGTCCTAGGTTCTGAAACTTTTTTCTCAAATCAACAGATAAAACGGTTGAGTTAATTTTCAATTACTTACGACTATTTTTTCAAGTCTAAAAAATAAATAAGTTGAATAAACTTTCAAAATGTATTCGTTGAAAGCCAGTTGCCATTTTGTTTTCATTAGATGGGAGGTTCCTAATAATAAACCTTACGATGTACCTTTGGATTCATGGTATTTCAGGGCCCTGTTTCATAAAACTTGTTATCAATAACAAGTTACAAGCTTCTGTTATAAGCTACTGAAATCATGGCATCTGATTGGCTGAGAGCAAATTTGTCATAGAAATTTAGCAGTTGTTATAGATAACAAGTTTTATGAAACGGGCCCCTGGTTTTTAAGTCTGCAAAAGGGACAAACCAACTTTAAACTAAAACACGGATAGTTCTTGTCATTGAGTTCTTAAAGGTCATAACAGCGAATACATGAATGCTTGAGATGAAGACAAAATAAAAAGAAAGTTGCAGAAATGATAATTTTATAACAAAATTTCTCATAATTTTGTTTTATCAGGATACCAAAAACGGTATACTACATGGCATTTCGTTCTTGAACCTCGTAAGTATGATAACAGTTGAAAAACGTGTAATTTTTAAGATATTCATTTTAATACGATCTCGATCTCTCATACTCCCTACCTGCTGAAACTGAAAATAGACAATATTATAATTAATGGCAGAAGCGTGTTTCTGACTAACGTAATATAGCTAAGTTGGCTAATTTCCATACCATGTTTGGCGTACAGTATTTAGTGCCAGGGGCGGATCCAGCCGGCGACGAGAGCTGGGGCACAAGAGGGGGGGGGGGGGGGGGCAATTCAAGAGAAAATATTTAGCGGCGAAATAGCCGGCGAATAAGCGTCTTCTTTTTTGTTTTTTAAAAAGGTAACATTGTGGCTACCATTTTTTGTTACTTCTTTTTTTTTGCCAGGGGTGGGGGGCTGTGCCCCCCCCCCCCTCCCCTCTGGATCCGCCACTGCCTAGTGCATCAGTTAGTACAAGGGTTACTGTTGGGGTTAGGGCTAGGGTTGATTTGATTTTCTTCTGCATTCATAATAAGTACACAGTTTTTCGATGATAATAGTAATATAGAATACAATAAGTATTTATTCAGACAGTGAATCATTATAAGCAAATATACATAACAATTGTTATTTTCAAAAACGAAATGAAAAACTGTCATATATACTTAATTTCATCAAACATTATACAATTATTTGCGGAAGAAGGACTGTCATTGTAAGCAGATAGCTTGAAAATAAGACATTTGGGGCTAGAGTTAGGGCTATCTTCGTGGATTTTGGAGACACATGCCTCTACGACTGTTCAAAGAATGCCTACCAGCTAAGGCCTTGTCAGACAATCACGCAATTATCGGCTTGCAGGAAGTATATGGGGGAGATCACATTGAAGATATTGTTAAATTGGTCAGATTTTCGACAAGGTATTTTATTTCGCTTTCCATGAAACAGCTGTGGCACGATCATCGCTTAGTCTGGAGTCCTGAGGACCATGGTAATATCTCTCTGGTATCAGTTCCGTTGAATTCAGTTTGGACACCACCACTGCAAATGTTTAACAGGTAATTATACTATATACAGTGCGTATAGAAAAGGTGTTCCCAACTTTGGTAGCTTCTAATTAAAAGGTTATAACCTATGTGACCTTGAGCTATATTTTATTGATAAGGAAAACTAGTACCCTGTCTTATGATACCATTTTCATAATTGTGTTGCCAAGGATGACTAAACAGCAGGCCTTTCAAAAAGTATTGTCAAAATCATCTTTTTCCAAGTTTAGGCTAAAGCAATGAATGTGGGTCAAAAGCCAGTATGTTTGTGTTATCTCATTCCAAAAACAATTGCTCATTTATTTATATTGAGTTATTGACTATAAGGCAGTCGACAAAAAAGGTGTCCATAATTAAATATGATGTATAAAATAGTTAAAGATTATCCCGTGGATTGGAACAAGGTCCTGTGAAAGCCCAGATACATTGCATTATTTTAAACGATGAAGCGCTGTAGCAAGCGGCATAATTTAACGTTTAAAAGGATTTAACCGAAGAAACACTTGCATAAGGCCTGACTCACATTTGTTCCTTAAGCCCAAACTTGGAACAAGGCAATTTTGACAATACATTTTAAAGACCCTGATGCTCATTCACCCGTTGCAGAAATGTTATGAATAGGGTATCATTGGACAGAGGATAAGATACTCCTCATTGCGAAATCAATTTCAAAGTCATTATTGGTTATAACCTTTTAATTAGGAGCTACCCAAGTTGGGTACACTTTGTTTGAGTCCACAGTCGCCTGAAATAACGGCTTGTCGCTATTGGCGAGTAGGTAGCGACAGAGGGCGAACAAACTATGTATATCGGGCTAATGGCTATTTTTTAAAACTTGTATCCGATCAGACAAATATCCTTTAAAGCAGTGTTCTTGCTAGTTAACACAAAACTCGGGCACACATATCTAGTCCGATGTTTCATACTGATTTGTTGAATCTTGAAATGATCTGCATTCACACAACGAAGAATTGGCCCGAATTCACAAAGGAGGTTTAGATTTTACCCATGGTTTAAGCCCTCATTTACATAAACTATGGTTTTAAATAAGCGCAAAATAAACGCGACACAAGTCAGAGGTCCAATATTAGACATATTCTCATCGTTGGTGTGGTCATTGTTGTTGTTGTAGTTGTTATAATCAAAGCCGTTTTTATTTCAGTAGTAAAACCAAACTTGGTTCCTGCTGTGCTGTCCATAATATGTCATAGACCATTTCGCAGTTAGCACATGGGTCAAAATGACACCAAATATCCACAGATCTTTTACTCATTGAGAAGTCCCACTTTGTGTATTTTAGAATATAATCAATGCCAAAGTCATGTATGTGCTTCATGAAAAGCTTTTGTTTGCCCTCTTGTAACTATCATAGAATGTATAACATGAGCACGTATTCATCTCCGTGGGTTTTACAATTTTATCAGAAATGACCTTTATCTGCCCATGCGCAGATAGTATTAACGATATTATTGTATTCCGATGTGATTGTTTCATCTGCCCATGCGCAGATAGTATTTACGAAATGGATTATTGTATTCCGATGTGATTGTTTCATCTGCCCATGCGCAGATAGTATTTACGGAATGCATTATTGTATTCCGATGTGATTGTTTCATCTGCCCATGCGCAGATAGTATTTACGAAATGGATTATAGTATTTACGATATGAATTCTTGTATTCCGATGTGATTGTTTCATCTGCCCATGCGCAGATAGTATTTACAAAATGGATTATAGTATTTACGAAATGGATTATTGTATTCCGATGTGATTGTTTCATCTGCCCATGCGCAGATAGTATTTATGGAATGCATTATTGTATTCCGATGTGATTGTTTCATCTGCCCATGCGCAGATAGTATTTACGAAATGGATTATTGTATTCCGATGTGATTGTTTCATCTGCCCATGCGCAGATAGTATTTACGGAATGCATTATTGTATTCCGATGTGATTGTTTCATCTGCCCATGCGCAGATAGTATTTACGAGATGGATTATTGTATTCCGATGTGATTGTTTCATCTGCCCATGCGCAGATAGTATTTACGAAATGGATTATTCTATTCCGATGTGATTGTTTCATCTGCGCAGGGCCGGATCGGGGCAGACACAGAGTCCTTTCCAGACTGATGGCAATAGGGTACAGGTCTGGGCTAACGGAACAGCATACATGCAGTCTAACATGTATTTCAGCACCATCTGCTCGGTACTTCTGGTAGAGTTTCCATTCGATGAGCACAACTGCGGAGTTGGTTTCTTTCCACTAGGTAATAATTATTGAATGATTTGTGGAAGGATAATGAAAACACAACTGCGGAGTTGGTTTCTTTCCGCTAGGTAATAATTATTGAATGATTTGTGGAAGGCTAATGAAAACACAACTGTGGAGTTGGTTTCTTTCCGCTAGGTAATAATTATTGAATTATTGTGGAAGGATAATGAAAACTAACAGATAAATACTGTATATAGCAGGGTTTAACAGAATATCCTGCTATAAATGGTCATAGAAAGAAAGGCAAAGTACTTTGACGATATAACAAAATATCAGAGTCTCTTGTAACATAAAATAAATAAAGAAAAAGAAAAAGGTGCCGGACCATTTTGGCGCTTTAGCAATCTAACGAATGTATACACCCGATCACGGTTACAAGAGTGCGCATGCGCTGACATTGGCGCCATTTTAGATTACGAGTAAACAAAGTTGCTTACTCGCAATTTAATGTGGCGCCCAGGTCAATATGATGTGAGCGCACAGCGCAGGCAATGACGCGACAATACATGCGCATCTGAAAACATTGATGACGCTCTGTTTACGCGCAAATTAAAATGGCGACCTTAACCGCGAAAGGGTGTATTCATGCCAGGTACTCATTTACCTCACCTGGGTCGAGAGTGGCAAATGTAGATTAACTTCTTGCCAAAGGACGTTTGTGTTGTACGTGGCTGGGATTCGAATTTCGTATGTTGTGGTCCACTCAGGAACCCGTTTCACAAAGCCTTTTTTCAATGACAAATGACAAAAATCAGTGACAAATCTGTTGATAACCAATCAGAAGCAAGGATTTCAGTAGCTTATATCATACACTGTCATTTGTCATTGATGGCAAGTTTTGTGAAACACCCCCCTGTTGTATCCATTAAGCCTCGTTCAGATATGACGCGGTAAAACCGTGGCGGTTTTTTTTTATGATGACGTAAAGTGTAATACGCTTCACATTTCTGTATACAAACAATGTTCATTATTTGTTTTATAAGACGGGACGGCAATACAGTCCTACAATAGAGTTTAAATCTAAAGTACAGATAGATATAACATATAGATCTAAGTTAGATCTAACTAGATCTAGGCGTAGAATATTCTAACGTTAGATCTAAATACATTAGGCTACTCTACAAAAGTAAAAGATATAACACACAGCTCAGTAAATACGCGTATAGGACCATTGGTGCACGCAGTTGTCAATTTTTGCCTTTCATTTGCACGTTAAAAAAATAAAATAATAAACGGCGACGGATTTTTGTGGCGGTTTACCGTGCCATATGTGTAAAAGCCTTTGAACCTCCACGATTGACTGTTGATTCATTTTTTTACCTTTCGAAGGTATCAACAGTGTTTATATCAAGTTAATCCCCGGACTCGCTCTTTCGTTGGCCAACTATAACGCCGAATGGCGAGTTAATGCAATGGAATCCGAGGCAAGTGAGAAACAGGACGCCTTTAGTGGGAAACGGACGCCTTTCCTAGACATCGTTATCTTCCTTGAGAGACAACCGAACTTCTATCTCCGGAACATCCTGTGCCCGCTTGTTCTCTTTATTATCTTAGCCTTCTCCACTTTCTGGATTCCTATCAAGAGCGGTGAACGCGTCTCGGCGTCCCTTTCGCTCGTCCTCGGCAACACCGTCTTTCAGATCATCATCACCGACATCATGCCGAGGACCTCGAACCCCGCTGACGAACCCCTCATCGTGTATTTCTGCGTGTCATCGTTTGCTCTCATCACAGCCATCACCGTTTGGTCAATGCTTGTGTCAAACTTGAGCTTCAAAAAGTGGTCTTTGAAGAATTCCGCAGCGAGGCGATTCTTCTTTGACGTGTTGCCAGTTCTCACCTTGTCCAAACCGCTTCGATGTTGCAGATCCCGGATTGCTGCCGAAGGTCAGTAACGACAGAGGTATGGGGCGCCCCAATAGAATGGCTAAGAATTAAAAGGAAAGAAAAAACAAAGTAAGAGAGAAAGAGAGAAAGAGAAAAAGAGAGAGGGAGAAGAAGAAGAATAAGAAGAAAAGGGAAGAGGGAAAGTCCACATAGAAAGAGGTGATACAACCCCTCTTACACCCATTTTGGTCATGATGATAATATGCCTTCGTTTGTTATTTCACATTTCATCAACTTTATAGCCCCCCCCCCCTCCCCCCTAATGGTAGTGGTAGTGGTAGTAGATGTGGTGCTGGTAATGATAGTTATGGTGGTGGTAATGGGCATTGTGGTGGTATAGTGAGGGCAGTCGTGTTTGTGGTTTTGGTTTATCGGTAGCGATGCTGGTGGTGGTACTAGATTCCACAAATGGCGATAATCACAGCTGAAGATTCCTACGTAGGCAAGAAAGCCCAAAATGAACTGACCGGCAACATTTAGGAAAACAACCTATCTTTAATATTTCTCCCCCACCCCCAGATATTTCCATGGAAGATAAAGGTACCCATGAAACGACTGAAGTACAGCTATTCGATCACACTGCTGCACACACACCAGTTCATCGTGCACAACATTACCCGGTCGAAGAAAGTGGGGACGATTCTCAGGTATATTGATTAGCTTGTGTACAACAGTACGTCTAAAATCTACCTCGTGTAGAGAAATTTCGTCTGCTGTATCATCCACTATGTGCAATTTGTTTTTTGACCGTTTATTCATGCAGTGGGCTACGCTATTTTTATTTATAGCATTTCACAGTTTTCTGAAAGTCCAAGTAAATCACTTCTTCATTCTCAAATTGGAACCAATTATTCTTATTTCATATTAGTTCTACATATTAGTTTTTTTGTTTATTTCAAGCGTATATAAAATTAACAAATGATGGTGATTACAAGATTCACACTGCGTTGCCAATCTAGATACTGTAATCATTACCAATACAATTCTCGCTACCCCAAATAGCGATTCTGCCGAGATCCGGGGAAAATCCTGAAAACGCGCATTGCATTATGGGATAGCTTTTCGACATTACAGCTTCCTGTGCCGTCCTCCACAACAACACAGCGTCGCTTTCGCTCGGAAAGTTCGTGATCACAACCCTCTCTTTCACGGTAGAGTTTAACGGCCTTTTGTGCTAAAGTCACTAATTCTGCCCGAAGCTTTCCATTGCATGGTATTCCTCTGTCCGTTAAGATTTTTTAAAGTTCCGAAACTGTTTTTTTAATCAATTTTGTGGTCGACGAGAAATACATGAACTGAGTGTTGTCTCTACACTGTTTACTGTATCGTCTGCTCGTGATTGTGACGCTGGTCGCTACATGCACAATTTTAAGACAATTATTTTTTTTTTTACTTTTAGATTAACAGAAAAAAAACATGAATAAAAATAAAATCTTTCCTGTAAACTATTTTTTGCTTTTTATTGTATATTCAAATTGAATAAAAACAAACTAAATTTAATGCATATATTATAATCTGTACAAATTACACTGATTGGCATCGATTTTAGCGTGCGTGAAAACTCTGCACAGCGAACACAGGCGCTAGCGCCAGCGGGATGGGACTCTATACCGGAAGTTGTAGTGACGACCCGAGAGAGTGAAAATTACCTCGTCTCGCGAATTTCGAGATTTTCGTACCTATTTAGGGTAGCGAGAATTAAATCGTTCTTAGCCATGGGGGCCACAATGTACTGCATTGAAATTGTACTCAGAACTTTTAATGATTTCTGCTCTCTTTACACAAGTATAATATGTAATTCCTAGAATTTGGGATCAAAGCAATAACACAAGTTTTAAAAAATGATGAATAATACACCAGTTTACGGTTGTATCAGTGCGTATGCGCAGACAGTTGACCTCGGGTCATTGGCTCTGAAACAAAGCCAATGACCTGAGGTCAGTGGTATTTATGCGTAAATTAAGATTGCGCCAATGCAAATGATGATGTGCGCGCAAAACGCAGCGCGCAGGCAGTGATGTCATCATAATTTGCATGGGCGCAATCTTAATTTACGCATAAATTCATGACCTCTAGGTCATTGGCTTTGTTTACTCGCCAATTAAAATGGCGCACACAACCGTAAACTGGTGTATAGGGCCATTTGAAGAGCGCGGCTATCATTATGAATGCCCGACTGTAGCTCAGGTGCCATAATAAGGCGCTTAAGCATTCAAGAAGTTGTACCCATTAACTTCACCTGGGTGGAGAGTGGCAAATGTAGATTAATGTCTTGCCAAAGAAAATTAGTACCGTGTTGGGACTCGAACCCACAACATGATTTTTTTTCTCTCTCTCTCTCTCTCTTTTCAGGTGACTGATATGGAGTTCATCGCGAAAGTGCTTGACCGTCTCGCCATGGTATTAGTCTTCGTCTTGATATTAGTTATCGCTATTCGTACCGACCCACTGGTAACTGCCACGTTTAGAGCTTTGCTTGCATGAAGGTTTTAAATCCTAGTTTATTCTATATTATTACCATCATCGCTATAGTTGCATTTTTATTTATTAGAAAACTTCATTCACATGGTACATTAAAGGGAGTGTAGCATGACGAGACTACGTTTCTTTCCCGTGGCCTGACTCGTATCCCATCGGGTATGAAACGACTACGGACGACGCTAGCGCGCTGACCGAGATTAAGTCGCTGACTACCGTTAATCAAGTCCATTCATTTACGTGCAGTTGTCCAGAGTAAGTCGTAGATGGCGTTAACCAGTATTTGCAATGCCGCACCCCTTTAATATTTTGTTCTAAAATACAAGGGTATATTATATGGAAAAACCAACATATGGCTCCAGTTGTCTCATTTTCGCTCGCTGGAACATTGCCAGCATAAACCACTGACCTCTACCTCCTGGACGGATCATCGCCCTTTCCCATTCACTATACGTTACGTACTAAAAGGCTGTATTGTCTGACCGTTCATGAATATTCATGTTTTTGTTTACCTCGGCAAAATGTTTGCTTTTACTAAATGGAAAAATTACGGTGGGGGGGGGGGGGGCGGTGGATGAAATGGACATAATGAACCAAGCAGAAGTGATCTATGATATTCATTCTTCTTATC